TTTTTACGAGGTTTTACAGAATTAAGGCAAGCATTTTATGAATGGAATGTTCCTCTTCATCAATATGAAGCATTTGTCCACAAAATATAATTGATAAGAAGCAATGTTTTTTCTGTTTTTCACCCAAAACATTTTATTTCACATTACTTCACAAAGAAAATTCAAACAATCTCTACAAAGCATGATGAAAATACAATAACACTCTCTACAACCAAAAGTAGATTGGATTAGATTGGATTTATTCGGTGTAAACACAAAGGATAGCCCACGAAAGTCTAGAAGAAGCCTTATTTCCAGTGGGGTCTTTCTGGTAGTGATTGGACAGTACACCGGGAGACAATCCCCTACTCTTTTCCGAAGAGTGTACTGCGTTCTTTAACGTGCACATGGTCTTTAAATGCACGCGGGACCAACGGCTTACTCTCGTCCGAAAAACGGCGCTATTTTAACTTGTATTTCAGCCTTCTAACTGAAACACATGGAGAGCAGCGATGGGAGATGAACTCCACGGTTCAGCGTACACACAGTGGTTACCACCACATTAGCCGACTGAGCTTAGCTGCACTTAATAATAGAATGTAAACATTATTATTCTGAAGGAAAACTGTACTTCCTGATTGTAAAGACTAGAGTACGCCTTAATTTGATAAGTCAAATATAAACAATGTGTTAATTTACTCAAACCAGAGAACAGTTTAAAATAAGCTTTCATGCTCACAATGCCCTGATGCGGTTGGTGTACAAGGAAAAGCACATACGTACTGTAATCATTATGAACACTCCACATTTAATGAATCTCCCACCTCAAATAAATTACCACTCTAGAGCTTCATTTGAAATAAATGCCTCCCTCGAATAAACGCCTAGAGGTTTTCCCTCGAAAAACGCCAAAAAATGTAGTAAGTCTTGCAATAATACACTAACACATTTTTATGGTAATTACGTGTTGCTGATAAAATGTGAATAATTGAAATAAACACCAACCAACAATTTTCACATTTAAACCTAGATAATATTGAGGGGCTTGCTGGCCGTTTTGTTTTTGTTTTTTTTTTTCTTTCTTTTAATAAATTAATTTGGAAATTATATTTAATTTATGTCTATTATTTTTGAAGGGTCCCCTAATATCCCCGGGCCCCAGAGTTTGCACCGGCTGCACTGCCCATCCCTACGGCACTGGAACGCAACCTATCCACTAGCCGACCAGGGACCTTCCTGAGTTCTCAGGATACCTACTTGCACGTACCGGGCGGCGTACAAAGAGATTCTGTAGTTGGGCTTAAATACGGTGCAGCCTCATGATTTGCGATTGACCAAGTAGGCCTCTGTTCCCCGTGGGAACATTGTGGAAATGCCTGCAGTTCGAAACTTTGGTATTTATTGTAACGTTTGGAATGAAATACACTTAATACATAGTTTGTTAGTGTGGCGCAAACATTTTAAGAAAGCGTGATGCAATCTCCGCTTATTTTGCCTAAGCATGGGCAGTCATGTATGTATGTATGTATTATATATATAATGATTAGGCCTATAAATAAATAATAATAATAATAATAATGATGATGATAATAATAATAATAATAATAATAATAATAATAATAATAATAATAATAATAATAATAACATTTAATAATAATCACTGTCGAGGAAACTTGATTACCGGAATAACCACATGGTTAGTTACTCAGATACGACTATGTAAGATACATATATAATAAGGCGGCCATTTTGGTATCCTGACAATTTGTTACCTAACATTTTTCTTAACTTTACAGGTCTACCCTAATAAAGTGAAATCAAGCAGATACTATCTCAATTTGGGCATTCAAATCCTACGGAAATACATCTCAAACCTGACAATAACGCATATACTAGACTAGCAGAAGCAAACAAAACAGAGCACTTAATTAAAAAAAAAATTTAACAATTCAAGTGATAGTACAACTCATCTAAGGGCGTGATAAATAATATAATATTAATGCTTCAGGCCGAATTTGTCTAGTACCGGTAAGTGTAATTTGTAATTAAAATTGTATCAGCAGTATGTTATTAGAAATTCGACGGTATTCATATTTGTATGCCTATTTCATAATACATAGCATAGTGCATGCTATGAATACATAACACGTTTTATTTAATTGCAAATTGTTTTTATTACCTTGCACGTTGTGTAAATAAATGCTGGCACTGCTATTCATTGTATTATAATGTGTTTATGTTCCTTGTAGGCCTACTTTATTTATTCATGGAGAATCAACTCAATTTATCTAGTATGGCACCGACAAAAATTAAATTTTAAACAGTTCATCATTTTCGCAATAGATCCGTTGTCCATGGTGGGGCTGAGCAGGTTATGATACTATGTCCTCACAAACATTAAATCTTGTGTCTGCCAACGTACAGCAGGACGGGGGTGAGGCTCTACGGGTTTGCCAGACTGCTATTTTCGGGCATGCAGAGGTGCCATATTCCAAAGAATGCTCTATCCCCAAGCTAACTTTAGATCTTGTGGCTGCAAGGGGAGAAGTAGCGGCTCTAGAGGTTGCCAGCATCTGTTTGAAAGGTTGTTCTCGAACCAAATGCTTCCGACGTCTATGGAACACCAACCTCTGCCAATGTTCATTTTTATTTTGTACATGCATATTGTTGTTGATGTTCATCCATAACAAGGTTCTTCATTGTAAATGATGATAGCGGAAGATTGTTTTTCTAAAATGGATCAGTGGTTTGGAAATTACTTACTAATTAAATGACTCTTTCACACAAAGCAATTTATTTTTTTTTTACACTGTATTTTTGAAACTGGTACATGTAACAAAAAAAATCTTACAATATCATTACTCACATGTTAATATCAAAACAATAGGCCTACTCTACATTTCATGTATTTTGTCCTCTACTTATGTTTTTTCACTTTTCAACAGTGGTATATCTAAGAGTCTTCAAAGCTGATGGGGCCGCAAAAGGTAGAGTGGCGAACTCGACGATTTAGTGAAGCGGTAAGTAACAAAATAAGGTATGTGAGGTTATTTTTAGCTACTTGAGCGTGATCTTTTCGCTTTAGACATTTTCAATGGGGAAGGGGGAAAATACGCCACTGCTTTTCAACATTTCAACATAAAACTAGTCCAATTCGTTCATTTCATTACGAAGTGATGTTTGTTCTGCATTCATCAAACCCTGTAATAGGGCCAGTAGATGAAAATAAATACACAATGAGATGGGCAAAATGCAAATAAAACAGACTTAATCAATTTGTTGTACATGTATCTATACAACATGAAATAATAGCAGAATGTTCTTCTTCATATGAAATTTCCTAAATTTTATCTGCATTATATTTTACTGTATACAGTATTCATATTGAGACAATGCTTAAGATTAATAAATAAAAATACTGTAAAACCTTGAATAGAAGCCAAACCGGGGCCTTGAGAAGAAGCCCATTTTGAATTGAAGCCCCCTCTTTAGTTTCCAAATGTAGCCTAGAAAAGAAGTCCATCTGGAAAGGAAGTCCATGGGCTTCCTTTCAAAATAGCATGGGCTTGATTTCGAGATAGTACAGTAAATACAAGTGTACTATCTCGAAATGATACATAATTAGACATAGATAGTTTCTAGTAGACATAGCTGTTAGCAGATTTTAATTTCATGTCTACTAAAGATTTTCTCCTTTGGCACTCCCTTGGTAGTTTCTTAGTAGTCTTTCTCTACAGATGATAGACCACAAATAGTTTAATAATAGTTTATTGATTTATAGGTATTTATTAGACTTAAATAGAAAGGCATAACAAATTGTTGGCGATAGTAATAAATATCTATATTAGATAGGTGCTAAATAGTTGTTTTTAATTTATAATTTTAAGTATACAGTTCATAGTTTATAAGTAGGTTTGTGTCTAGCTATTTTAGAAGATATTATGCAGCCCCATTAATTAGGTAAAATTAACATATTAGCAGATTAGATTAGTTTATTAATAGTTATTGTTATTAAAAAACCTGCACGAAATATGCTAATAAAGCGAAAAACTACTAAAATCTACTGAAAACCTACCTTTTAGTAGGTGTTTAATAGTCAGCATGGCTTAATCTACTAAGTGCCATATGGCTAAATCTACTAAAAAATGAGCAATGTCTACTAAGGAATTTCGGTATGGGCTGTAGTTGAACTTCAAAGCAATAACATAAATTAAAAATGGGGCTTCTATTCGAGGTTTTACAGTATTAAGGCAAGCATTTTATGAATGGAATGTTCCTCTTCATCAATATGAAGCATCTGACCAAAAATATAATTGATAAGAAGCAATTTTCTTTCTGTTTTTCACCCGAAAACATTTTATCTTATAGTACTTCACAAAGCATAATCAAACAGTCTTTACAAAGCATGATGAAAATACAATAACACTCTCTACAATCAAAAGTAGATTGGATTGGATTGGATGGATTCGGTGTAAACACCAAGGATAGCCCACGAAAGTCTAGAAGAAGCCTTATTTCAAGTGGGGTCCTTCTGGTGGTGATTGGACAGTACACTGGGAGACAATCTCCTACTCTTTTCCGAAGAGTGTACTGCATTCTTTAATGTGCACATGGGCCATAATGCACACGGGACCAACGGCTTAAACTTCTCATCTGAAAGATGGTGCACTATTGTAACTTGTATTTCAACCACCCCCACCCCCAATTAAATTACCCCTCTAGAGCTTCATTTGGAATAAATGCCTCCCTTGACTAAATGCCCAGAGGTGTTTATTTTTCTTCGAAAAACACCAAAAAATTTAGTAAGTCTTTATGATCATGCAATACACTAACACATTTTGATGGTATGGTTTTTATGTGTTGTAATTCCACATTTACAGTGAATTAAGGGGCGTTTATTTGAGTATATCGTATGCATTTTACACCAAAAAAATGCCTCACTTGAATAAATGCTTCCCTTGAATAAACACCCCCTCAAAAACCCTTCTCAACAATAAATGCCCTGCATTTATTCAAATAAATACAGTACAGTATCTACATTTATTATTTCATTTTTACTGGTGGTGATATCTATATACAGGAGACTCAAGATAATGACCAAAGTATTTTAAATTATGTTTATAATGCAATACTATTGCGAAAACGGAAAAATAAGTTGTTCAAACTGTCTTATCAGTGCCATAACTAGACAAATTAAGGAGCTTATTCCTCCACGAATAAATGAACACAGTGCAATATGCTTAAATTACAAAAACATTAATAAAAATAATACAAAATACAATATGAATAACAATGAACTATATAATATTTAGACGGATATTGCAAAATTTTAAGAATCTGGCACTGTGTTCATTTATGGGGGAATAAGCATCTTAATAAGCATGAGATAAGAAATTAAATTTTCCTTTTTCACAATAATATTGTATTATTTATGATTTAATATAAAAAATTTGCAATTTTAAAACATGTGTTAAGATCACACAGGGTACAATGCTACACATTATCTTTTGAAATATGGTAGAGTTTGAAATAAAGAACCAAACTTTTCTTGTCGAGTTCGGCCATCTGGCATTATTAACTTGTATACCACGCTCTAGATGCACAATCACTAGCTTTTTTAATGAAGTCTCATGTGATTGCTTGCTGTAGGTAGACCTTTGCCAATTACCTTATAAGCAGCTTTAATTATTTAGTCAATTCTTAGTTTATTAAAGGCAGAAACCTCCATGGACAGATCTACCAGGTCTTAAAGGTATAGCTAAATGGCGCACCAAGAATCAGGTGGTCGCGATTCAACTATTAGTGAATGGCTGTTGGTGTGCATTGTTAAAATGAGGGTGATCTTACAAGGGTCCAGATGTTGTATGCTTGTTTATCTATCTTTGTAGATTGGTGATAATATTGGTCCGGAAAATAACTGGACCAGCCGGACTGCTTCCTACGGCCTTATAAGGTCTCCCTTCAATCAAATACAACCCTTTGGACCAGCGTTTCCATGGTCTTTACCACCTTTGGTCATTGAATACAAAAATTATTTCTATAAAAACATAATATGGACATTCATTGAGAGCTGCAGAAATGTGGTCTTTATGTACTTGTGGTCTCTAATTGGAGGGATCTTTAATTAGAGAGAGACTTTTTGACATTTGTTGGTCCTTATTGCCATTTTAGTTTGTTATTAAAACATCTAAAAAAATCTTTCTTGGATTTTACATAGCTATCATAAATTATTCTATATTTAAAATGTTTGTCAAGGTGTTTGATAGTTGTCTTGTTTCAATAGAAATTGTTTAGCATTTCTGAGAAAATAGTACAACCTCGTTGGAATCATAACCGGTGACACCGAAAGAAGTTCCACTTGAGTTTAGAAACTGGGCACCGCAGATTTGAAGGTCTGTAACAGATTCTGAAAACTCATGATTTACCTGCAAAATCAAATATCATATGTTAGGACAATACGTAGATGCCATTCCTTCACTATTAGGCAATTAATATAGCTCTGCATAGTACATTATAGGAGAAGAAAGTATTATACGAAGGTTTGATTTAATGCTTGAAAAAATTTCCTGAGGGCCTGCAAGTCCCGAAGGAAATTTTTGAATGCATCAAATCTAACCTAAGTATAATAATTTTTCGCTAGTGTACGATGCATGCTCTATTAATTGCTTTATAAGTCAATCGCCGTCTTTTAATGTTAGTTTTGTTTTGATAACCAACTCTTGTAGTAGTCATCAGTATACTGTGTGCGTATTTAAATTTAGCTATGGGTATGCTGATTTATGCTCCTGCAGTACGTGTTAACTACACATCAGCAGTTACAGTATGGATACGATGAATAACTAGCCAATTTTGTAATTTGTATTGTGTTAGAAGAATTCAACTTGTTTGTAATGTTTAACATTCGTCAAAGAAATAAACATTTTTTAAAGCATTCAAGAGAGAATACAGCGCTCACTGTCACTAGCTTTTTGGTCAGTGCAGACAGGTAAAAATCGTGGGATGATTTCATAACTACGCTAGGGTAAGGCCTAGGCTAGTAGTAGGAGGAGGCCCCGGCGGCCTCCTGCCTGGCCAAACGCCTAGGCCTACATCTACATTCTTAAGCGTAATAAAGACACTCAAGTTTTTCTTGTGTAAGAGGTTGCCATTTATAGTGATTAGGTTTTCTATTGGCATTGAAACCCCATTTCTCCATCAACAGAATATAAAAAGGGTGAAAGTTAACACTTCCTCCTCCTTCGAAATATAGTACAGGGGCACAAGACTCCCTCCCCACATACCCTATCCTCCCCCACCAACTGAATTCAGAAAAGGGCGCAAGCAACTGTACATGTGTTTTACCTTAACATATTTACTGTCTGTTTGCAAGGCCCATAGACGTACAAACGAATCTTCACTACTTGTCAGAAGCTATGAAAAAATGGATATTATAATTAAATTATGTTAGAATGTTAGACTATATATCTAGTTTAATAAAATCTAGTTTAACACTGAATATTCCCAACCCACTGAATATTCCCAACCCACCAAATATTTTGGCAACCCATTGGTGTGTCACGACCTACGGTTTACAGAGCGTTCTTGGTGAGGAATTCTTCAATATTTGATAGTCATCAAATTAAGTTAATAAGTGACTGGGGCAGATATCAGTGAGCATGGCAGTAGACAACAGGGAAGGGGTTCACCAAGGGCCATAAAGGTAAGATTCTGAGGCTGACAAGTGCCCCAAGCAGGTTCCAGTAAAGGCTACAGGAGTGAAGCTAATGTAAAATCTATCCTTTTAGCTAATGGTTTACAAAATAGTTTTTCTCACAATTTCATGATTATTATAAATAGAATATGATAAGTTTGCTGCATGGTACTGTAAACGCAATAGAAATACATTGATAAATAACAATAAACAAATATTCATTGTTATTATTATTATCTATCTATGTGTAGATATTATTTTCGTACCAAGTTACTGTCTGGTGCAACATCGATGGCATTGATCCATTTAGCATGTGCACATATCTCAGTTTGCAGGTCACCTGTAGATGAGCTGTAGATACGAATATGACCTGATCCGTAGCCTCCGATAACCAAGTGACCCAGCATACACAAGGAGGTACATGCCATCCTGAAAAAAATCATAAGCAATAAACCAACATGATATTATTAATTTCATCTTGTGGATCAAGTTAAGAAAGCAACTAAACTGACATGGGTGTCACTAAAAGGCATATACTACCACTTACCATGGCAAATCAGTGCTTACTTTTATAAGCGAACACTTTTACTCTTTCTAAGTATCTAATATTTCATCTTTCACTTCCATTTGCAAAAAAATGTCAAATGGCAACAACAGCCACAAGGTCATCACTTCACATTGACTAAAGATTCATTTCATTTGAGGTCAGATTTTGTCGAAGATCGGCAGAGTGGGGAAGCACTTGAGGTCAGCTTTTGTCGAAGACTGGCAGTGTGGGGGAAAACCTGCAAATACTGCTTTTGTGATTTGCCCAAACACTTGTATCGAAATGTGGCAAAGACAGGCCAAACTAGTAACTCCTCACAAATTATTTTTTTGAAATCTATTTTAAAATTATTAAAATAATAATAATAATTATAATAATTAATAATAAATAATAATAAATTATTATTATTATTAAAATAACTAAAAATTGATTTTACGAGTAGTGACTGGTTTCGCTTATCTTTGCCACAAATGATCAACACATATCACACCCTACATGGGATGACGATGTCATATCACACTAGGAGTTTAGCCAGAAATTGGCAATCCAAAATGGAGGACGAAGAAGTAGTCGCGCAATGACAGGCGAGGGGCGTAGCTCTGAGCAGGGGGTGGGTTTTGGAGGAGATGTCCCCCTTCGTACGTATGAAAAAAATAGAAAATTATGACCTTTAGAGTGCATTAAAGGTGTATAAATGTTGGAATTTTGTCTTCAAAGGAATAGTGTCACTGTTGAATTAGCTATCACATATTTCAGTTATAGATATAGACTGTAGTTGTTTACTCAAATTATTTTTCTAGGTTATGCAGATGCATCTTCATCTCTCGCCCTAGTTTAGTGTAAATTCTACTCTAGGTCCTCCGAATGGATATATGTATAGGCCTATAGGAGCTGTATTTTGTTGACTTACTAAAATTTTACTTTTGTTATTACAACAAATCCGCTTTATGGTATTTTATGAATTAATTATAACCAAGGAGTTACGAACAAGTACAATATCTCGGGAACCGAATCTTAAGTACTGTATTTGCAGAGCCACGTGCATGTGTTGAGGGTGACTTAGAACCGTCCATTTTTCCAGCATGGTAAAAATATTTTAAACACAACATACGCGTTTTGTAAGTGAAAATATCACTGGGTAGACAATAGTTTAGCCTTAATACTTTTTATGGAATCTACACCGAATGTTGGTATGAAAACAACGTAAATTCAATCAATAAAGGTTGTTTTATCAAACGTAAATATGATTTAGCTTTAGATTAATGCAACATTCGATAGATTCAAAGAATATAAAGAACTTGCTAAAGGTAAACCAGGCCCAACTAGGCTAGGCTTAGCTGAGTATGCCAAGCCGTCCAAGCCGTCATGGTAAAAGTGGCCGTCCTAAATAATTCTTGGCAGTCCAAAAAATGGCCAGACGGCTCGCTGGCTAAGCCCTTGTATCTCACTGATGTATAAGCAAAAAGGTATATCATAATATGTCACACAAAACTTTGTAGTACAGACAGAGCTTATAACTAAATAAATTGTGACATACCCAGAACCATTGATGCGTAGCAGCTGTTGAAAGTTTGGCCCAGACTTCCATAACATAATGCAACCAGAATCATCAGCACTGGCTAGGACGTTACCTTCATTGGCCAAATCCAAAATATTGCAGTTGTGAGCAGTTGCCATCTCCTGCAGGGTGATGTTGGTCCCACGTGATGGAATCGTAAAGATTAGAATGACACCTGAGGATGCTCCTAATATCAAATCGAAATAATTAATTTTGTGAATCTCAGCTAGGTTTGTGAATAGGAGCAAATTCCCTGTAATCTGCCCGCCTACAGATTATCATAAAGTGAAGGTGGTGGTTACCATTTTTTCTTTCCAATCTCAGAATTCTACAGTATGCTTACTCAGTAGTACTTCAGGGGTGTTTTTTCTCATGACTACAATACAGCTTCATTCCCAAGCTTTGATTTGATTTTTTAATTGATTCACATGAAAATAAGTGGGAAATAATTATTTAAATTTTGTAGAAAAAATCCAATTCATCTTTGAATAGACATTTTCTTAAATTTCACAGAAGTGATGTTTTGCCCTACCTGAAGTGTTATCGTCCTGATTATATAGGTTCCCAAATACTTGCTAAGTGATTTGGGTGGGAATCGAACCCATGACCTCCAAATAACTAGTCTGGGGTGTCATAACCACCAGACCACCGATGTTGCGTTAATGACTAGTGTTGTTCAATCTGATCCCCAAGCAGCAGCGGGTACTGCTATCGAATCACTTGCGAATTTATAACAAGTCAGGTAGAGCAAAACATAAATCCTATATTTTCCTATTGTAAACATACATCAAAATTCTCAAATTTCAATAACAAAGAATTTTCTGAATTTGATTATGTATTTTAATGCCTTGTTAACTTAATTTTTAACACTTCAATATTCCATCCTGTAATTGGCAAATGCACTTTGATGTGAAATGATAGAGCTTGTATGTATAGAATACATAGCATCAATAAGATCTATGGGGCATTATGTGTCTGTCTGAAACAAATTCTCATGTATAACCAAATAAAACAGAAATACCACCTAATCAATGACACACTGAAAGGGTGATACCTAGAGGTTTCTTCTCGGGATGCAAAGCCCCAATCAAGAACCAATGAGTGGTGAAATTATGGGGAACTATTTCTCTAATTTATATATGCTATTCTATATTATGCTGGGGGTGAAGGGGCTTCTTTCGCAACTCCTTGATTGGCCAATGGACAGATTAGGTTAGTAACAAAATTCTCTTACCAACAGCAATATAGTTGTCATGAACAGCTGTAATTCCTCTTGTAAACACGGCCCCTAAAAATAAATAAATTGTCATGGTTTCTATTAAAAGATGACACATCATAAAGCAATCAATATCATCACTATTATTATCATTATAAGCCTTAACTTAATTTTCATCAACAAATGTCATTTTCAAAATATTGATTATAAAGGTGATCCATTGTAATACTGTGGTGGATCAACATTGCTTTTGTTGTGACCATGCAAATCACCATGGTTGCCAAAAAAGACAATATGCACAGCAGTGCATAATTCAATGACAGAAGGCATCAGATCATTATTTGATGGCAGCACTTATAATACACAAAATATTGACATTTTGATATTTTCTCAATGATACAAAACATTATAGAAATTTGTATTTTATGTACTTTTGATTAAGTGCCACAACAATTATTTAAAATCGAATTCTAATGAGTGCTTTGAGTCCTTTATAACCACAAGGAAAAGGCACAATATAAATACCCATTACCAGCACCAGTACCACTACCACTAAGCAACAGGTGCCTTTAATATTAAAACCTTTTTAGATCAAAACCAAAATTCAAAATGTTGGGCACTCAGCCACGACTCATTGACCTCAGTATACCAAACCCTGGCAAGAAGTTGTGGTAATGAAAATTACCTTCATGTTCTTAATTGACAAATCCAAAAATGTTTTGTGGCCAAAAATTGGGCCACGGCCCTTAGTATGCATACCATTGATCACAGCAAATATGCTCTTATTAATATTTGTTGATTTGAATTCACCGGTCAGTGTTCGTGTAAGCAAATCATGGAAAAATTTACTTTTGCGACCATCAAAATTTGTTCGAGAGCCAAATTAACATTGGGTTGTGACCCACATGTTGCAGGATGGTGATTTAGTAAGCAATGTTTCAAAGTAGGTCTGCTAATAGAAGAGTAAATTAATGTTATAAATCAATACGTTGAATTTCACAAGCCTTTATACTGTAAATGTTGAATCTTACCTTCTTTGGTTTCTCCACTGGCTAGGGCATGCCAAAATACCATTGCTGACCCATCAGGTTCAAACATCTACAAATTAATATCATTTTCAAATAAAATCTTTGGCTTCACAATGGGAGCAGAAGATAATACTAATAATATTAATATTAATATAATATTAGTTTTTTAAAGGATTTCATTAACTAGAGAATGTCTACAAAAATTAATAGAAAATATGAAGAACCAAAATGACTTTTATGGACTGATTAACAAAATAAAGTAATGATGATTTTTAAAAATCAATAAAATTAACTTAAAACAAAAAGAAATGTCATCATAAAACAACTTTTGGTGCATTGTTAGCTGTCACATTGGAAACTTTTTTTAACTATATAATTAAATCTTTGATGAGTTTCATACAACCAGAGACAGTCTAGAAGAATAAATTTAAAATAAGAAAAAACAAAACAAAAATAAAGTGTTTTAGGGACTGATGCGAAGCAAAAAAAGAGATGTAATGGTGATTATTTTTTAAAAATCAATATAAAAACTTACCGTAAGACAAAAAAAAAATGTCATCATAAAACAAATTGGTGCATTGTTAGCTTACCACATTGGGAATTTGATCATTGAATAATTAAATCTTTGATGTTAACAATATTAAAATGATAATTACTGTATCATACGTTATCTAAAAATAAATAATAATAGTTGGAATAATAGAATAATAATATAATTATAATACTGTATCAAATAAATAAATAATAATACAGTGCTAAAATAGGAACATGCTGTATTGTTGTTATTATTTATCTTCTATTTGTTTAATTGTATTTTATGGTGCTATGCAGCAAACAAAATTTGTAAATACTATATATATATGTTAACTTAGTGTGCCCACAACTTTATTAAATTAATAAAATATGGGTACAGCAAACTATTTTGATTAAACATGAGAAAATTTATTTCATGCTTTAAATATTAATCTTAAACATACAGTACCTGCAGGCCTTTCTGTGAACATATTACCAGAAGGCTCCTTGAAGGCAAGTCACAAAATTTAGCCTAAGAATAGAAAAATAACAGTTTCTTATTTTAAACTGGGAAAAGAACGAAACAGTGATATTGAAAACAAGTCTAGGCCTTAAAAAGCTATTTTAATGTTTACATACAGTACAGTAATTAGAAAAATATTGTATCTGTTTTTTGCTGCTGCTATGGCAAAGATCTAGGCCTAGCGGCGCTAACTGTGATATAGTGCTTTATTAGTATTACTAGCCAGCTGCTCAGTCTAGACCGCTGGAAATCCCCAGTGAAATGTTGCGAGACATTGGTGGCAGTGTTTTAAATGGTGTATAGGCCGAGGCCTAACAGTAGTAGTACTTTTTCATTGGTGGTCCCTTGTATTTTTATTGCTTCCACCAAACACGCCCTGTATAGTACCATTAATAATGCAGGGTACGAGCCAGATATTCTACCTTCAGCCAAAACATTAATTTGTTACTCACCCCTCCCCTGCTTTTTGTCTGCTGCCACCTTATACATTTTTTTACATTTTAAATATACATTTTTTTTACATTTTAAAAATATTTTTGAATATAAAAAATGCCACTTTTTTTTTTACTATTTGTTACACACATCACATCTGCAATCAAATCAGCACTCGCACACCATGGAAATAATAGCCTACCTATTAGTATTAGGTGGCCTCATTAGTAGTAAATAGTAAGTGATAGTATTCATTATTCACTTTTATGGTCAGTGTTCTACAGTGTTACCATGGAAACTGTACACATTACAATTTACATCACAACAATGTTGCCAACAAAATGAGTGTCATTAATTAATGTAGGCTAGACTATTTTTATATCATATGGAAACATTTATCATATGGAAACATTAATGCACCATCATTAATTGTGAATGATGAAGGATATGAACAAAATAAATATATAAAATGTTGTTTATTGAACTTACTTGTAAAATAAGAGCGGTTGACGCATTTGTAACGGCGTCTTTACAGTAAACTTCACGGTGATGAACATTAGCTGTGTCACTGGACGAAGTTGCAATATTTACAGCTGATTTGTGAACAACAGCGTAGCTTATTATGTTCTTTTGAGGAACCGAATAGATGCTCAAATTATTATAAAGCAGAGATGCACTACTCTTAAATTGAATTGATTTGTCTCGTTTATACATTTTTCAAAACCTAGCCTGCACCTACCTCAAAACAAAACATAAAATTTTCTATTTTTATAATTACGAGCACGCCCTCTATAAACAAAACTGCTAAAAGTAAAAACAACCCACTGGCGAACCAAAGCGATCATATTATAAAAAATAACAAGTTTTTTTGACTGAAGTTCTATTTTACTCGAACAGCTGAATCTATTTTTAGACTGCCGCCCCGTGGCTCGCTTTCTCACGTTAATATTTTGTTTGTATAAAGAAGGATATAAAGAATGTCAACTCAGAGGAGAAAAACTGACTCGAGAGCTTCTAAAAATGAACCAGAAGCACCGTCATTACCATCAGTATGGGCACGAGCGTTTACGAGCAATTCAGAATGGCCAGAAAAGGTGAATCCACTTTCGCTGTCTAAGGGTTAGGCCTAGCCTGCTGTCGCTGGCCTATACAGTACTTAACTATAGGCCTACCCGTTGGATAAAGGCCGTGCTCGCGCTGCTGCTTGCCATGCCAAAGTAGGCCTAGGGCCTAGTCCTACCTAGCTTTTTTAGGGTTAACTCTAGTGAACAAAACCAATAAAGCCCTAGCTTTAATTAAATTAAGGCATTTAATGTTTGAATTGGTATTTTTTTGTTTTAAATGTTAATCTTGTCAGACGTCTTTGTTACTGGGATACCGGTTCTTGAAATTGAATGTCAGTTTGGCTGTGATGTGATTTTCAGTAGGGTCTAGCCATTTCACATTCTCTTTTTTTTTTCTATCAACAGGTGCCCTCAAAAAGGGTAACCATGAAGCTGTGCTATTTTGGTTTTTCTCTACTGTTTTTTTTACTATTTTCTCAGTTATTTACATACCGTATTCATGTGAAATTTGGTGAATAAAAGAACATTGAACTTTGATTTTAGGCGCACGTCCTGGAATATTTCTAGACCTAGTCTATTTCGTAAATAAATATTGGATGAGCACATGGTGACACAGTATGAAGAAGCGCTGACAGAAATCTTCTTTTCAAATGGAGGTTGTTGTCGTTACCTTCTACATTTGAAAAGAGGTGACAATACCCCACTGAATCAGTAATGTAAAGTGTGGATTCGCTAGTTCACAGAAAAACAAGAGTCTCTGTTAGCATCTGATTATCCAGGCGGAGAACACTGAAAATGTGGATGATAACACTCCTGACCTTATCCAGATGATCATTGGCCTATCCAATATAGAGATGCAGCTTCCACTGCTTCCATACAGTATACATAGTATGTCGGCATGCCTGCCGTTGCCTGTTGTTAAAACCACTGGCCAGGAAAATAATGAAAAAATAGAGGATATCACATCCGCCGCTGCGTCCCCGGCCATGCCTTTCAGAAAGAATGCACACCAGTGCAGCACCCGTTTTAGCAGACAATCTAATACCGAAACCAGATGTAGGCATGGTGTGGTACAAGAAAATCCAGTCTCCTCTCCCTTCCCAAACCGTTATCTCGCATTCTGAATGCCGTACAGTAAAGTGTAAAGCCTATTGAACTGGGCTGGGGTAATAAGGTTTTTCTTCGGGTAGATTACCACCTCCCGACCCTTCCGCCAACCTTGAGATGCAAGTCCTGAGTTTTTTTGTCCCCGGTTCAATTGCTTTCGCTGCTCTCCTTGTTGTATTTCAGCTGAAGTTATGATAATGCACCGTTTTTCGGATGAGACATTTAAGCCTTTGATCCCGGTGTACTGCCCAATCACCACCAGAATGACCCCACTGGAAATAAGTCTCCTTCAGACTTTCATGGGTTATCCTTGGTATTTACACCAAATAAATCCATCCATCCATCTGCTCAATTCCTCATTATCTTCTGCTATCAAGAAAAGTTAATTTACATACTGAAAATTCTACAGTATAAAAATATGTATCCATTTTTACACCGATGTTTAGTATCAGCGTATAAGTTATTTGAGTAAAATAATGTTTGATTAGATCAAATTAAAGTTATTTTTTACATGAATGAATGCAAGTCAGTGGCATATGACACAGGTGTATGTAATGTGTACAAAACTGTTGTAATTATATGGAAATTTATTTCAACAAAATGAGTCACAAAATGCATGATTATGGGAATATTTTTGTGGGAATTTATTATTGAAAATTCACATTTATCACCACACTACCTTGCTTTGTTGTTTATGGTCTACAGGATGAATTACTGGATGTTATTTATTGGGGGAGACAAATTGTAGGAGTTATATTTGGCCTTTTATGGGGCATAATACCAATGAAAGGAATTGTTGGGCTAGCATTGTAAGTATTACTAATTTCATTTATATATTTTTCATCGACCTATGTAATTTAATTAACGTTATTCTTGTTCTTTTTGGAATTAAAACATTAAAGATAGTTCATCAATAATGTATACAGGGATTGAAATTATATCATAATTGTTATTTACTATTTACAGTATTTCATCTTTTATCTCAATTAAAAGACAAAATAACAACTTCAATCATTTAAAACCAAAAAAAAATCACTCAATTAGGAAACTGTAAAATTGTTATTACTTACACTTTAAATATATAACTACAACTCAATATAACTAATAAAATACAAACTTTCAAAAACAAACAAGGTGATTCAATTAAAAATTAAATACCAATAGTATTATTAAAGTGTATATTAAACTTTAAAATTAGATTATACTTATTTATACTGTGTGCGTAAAACATGTTTTTTTATATTTTTATTATATTTAATTTTTGCAGTAGAGTATCCATATCTGTCATTGTTATTAATTGATGTTGCACTTAATTTGCTGCTTTAGTATTAACTTCTACCATCATTTTTATTCCTATACTTTATAACAGGTTTTGTGCTATTAATGCTGGGATTTTGTACATATACTTTATGAGTTTTCAAAAGATTGATGATGAAGACTTTGGAGGGGCCTGGGAACTTACTAAAGAGGGCTTTATGACTTCATTTGCATTATTTTTAGTAAGTATACCTTTAATTTGTTTTGGATATATTAACATAAATTACTATTATTATTTTTGTTACAATTTTCCTTATTTTTAAAATATCATCAAATATCAGTAAATAATAAAGGGGTTAAAATACACATCTCAGAAGTATGTTAGTAATCTATGAGATTACTAACATATATAATACCAGTTTCCTTTTCGAAACTTACCTAAAATAATATGGAATGTCCCATCCAGATGAATATAACATAACATTAATATAGAAGAGGCCTGTATTTGTGAATTTAACCCAGGGACAAACTGATGTGCATACAGTACAGTAGATTAGCCATAGATATTGTGATTGTTGTTGTAATAGGTAATTAAAAAAATTATTACTGTTATTGTTTATTGTAAATTACAGTACTTCCATATTGAATTGACTATCATTATTGTTTCATTTTGGATTACTTACAGATTGTTTGGATAATAGTATATTCTGCAATATACTTCGACTAGCAGATAAAAAGATTATGACTGTAATGAGATGGTTACAACTTTCAGAAATGTTAACAGACTAGCATCCTATTTTGATATATTGTGCATGTTTACAACAACTGTTGGTATCAACCAGGCAAATTCAGGTGGTACAACAGTGAATGAGAGGAAGACAAAGAAAGCAACCGGATGAGAAATCATGAATCCTATGCGACGAGCAAACTTGGAGTTTAAAGAGAAGTGATTGAAGAAATATATTGTAAAATACAGTACAGTATTATATAATTTGATGCTGAATAATCAAGAATGTGCTATTCTGATATTCAACATGCAGTTAAACTTGCCTAAGTCGACCTTATTTCACATGCCAAATTGCTATGTTTTCCATTAATTAACAATCTGTAAGTCAAATTTTATCTAAGTGGAACAATATTTCAATGGCATTTTGGATTTAACTGTACAATATTGTAACAAGAGTTTGGAATATTATGCACAGAAATACAGCATATACAGTATGTAAAGCAATTGCTGGATTTAATTATTATTATTATTATTATTCTTTCTTTAGGCACACAACACATGTGCCAAGGATTGCCAATAGCGAATATATATCACTGTCCTACTTTTAGGTGACAATCCCTTACACAAGACAAACATACACACACGATGCTTTCCACAAACTAAATCTCAATATGAGATTTAGGGAGTGGAGTTGTTTATGTCGTGAGAAAAAATCCTGCAACTGGCAGGAATTGAACCCAGGACCCTGGGATTGGAAGGCAAGCATCTTAACCACCAAGCTATTCAACTCCACTCAATTAAGTCAATTAGATCTGTTTTGGAATTTAGTGCTCTCCTGAAAGAAAATAATGTCCCACAAACATACGCAAACTTGTACGTTTGTGGGTTACAAACGCACATTCCTGGCCTATATTACATGTCATTGTGTCATGGTAAAGCATATCAGAATCCCTTAAACTCTTCAATATTTAAATACAATTTTAACTACAAACTTTAATGTTTAAAGTAAAAAGTAGGCAATACTTTATACACATTCATAACTTATTCTTGATGGTATTCTTCAGATTCTATGTTGGTTTTAAGTGTTAATCGTTTTGATATTAAAATGGTCAAATAGGTACATTCCAGGCACTAGCAATTTTGAACGTTTATGTTTATTGTGTAATAAAATAAAACAGAACTCCTGCTTGCAAATCATAGTCATGGAACCATTTAACCAGAGCCTTGCAGGCGTCAACGTTCCTATGCATGATACACGACTTTTAGAAGTATATATACGTGTATATATATATATATATATATATACATATATGTATATATATAAGTGTATATATATACACATATACGTATATATATATATATTCATATATATACATATATATAAGTGTACATTATATATAAGTATATAAGAATATAAGTGTATATATATAAGTATATATATATAAGCCTATATAAGTATATATGTAAGTATGTGTATATATGTATATATATATAAGTATGTATATATAAATATATATACGTATATATAAGTATGTATATGTATATATATATAAGTATGTATATATATATAATATATAAGTATGTATATATATTATAATGCATATATGTATGTATATATATATAGGCCTATATAAGTATATATGTAAGTATGTGTATATATGTATATATATAAGTATGTATATGTGTGTATATATATGTGTATATATATAGATATATATGTATGTATATATAAGTATGTATATTATGTATATATATATACGTATATATGTCTATATATTATGTATATATATATATGTATATATGTGTGTATATATATATAAGTATGTATATGTATGTATATATACATAAGTATGTATATATGTTATAATGCATATATGATATGTATGTATATATATATATATATAATACATATATATACACATACATATATACATTATAACATATATACACGATATACACGATATATGTATATATATATATACATATATGTATATATATACGTATATATATATATACACATATACATATATATATATTCATATATATACATATATATATATTTATACATATATATATTTATATATATACATACATATATATTGATATATATATATATACATATACGTATATATACTACCTTTATTCGGCTCTTAAGGGGAAATTCTTTTGTCTATGATTTTGCCTTAACGTCGCTTTAGTTTCCCCTTAGCGACACTACTTTCGCCTTATGGTACTGTTTTTAACCACTTCATTGTTTTAGTTTCCCCCTATGGATACTTCTATATATATACGTATACATATATATACATATGTATGTATATATATATGTTTATGTGTGTGTATATATACTTATATATAAGTGTACATTATATATAAGTATATAAGAATATAAGTGTATATATATATACC